TTTTATTTTAATAAGAATTAATAATGCACATATAAATCTCATCGATTAATATTTATGATTGTTTGAGAAAATAATTTTATTTTAAAAAATGTGCAAAATTAAAAATAATAGTTAATATATTCTATTATTTTCATCGGTCAAAACCTAAGGGCTGTTTGACATTGAGAATAAAGTCAAATTCAGCAGTATAGTTTTGAAACAAATTTTTTATTATAATTCATATTTTTATATTTTAGGGTTCATTTACCGAATGGCAACAACGTGCACCTCAGGAATTTATTATTCGTGATCAAATAGTGAAACCTGCTGCTTAGACAAAAAAAATAATATTTTGTTTTTTTTTTTTCTTTTTTTAATTTCATAAGGAAAAAATATATCTATATATAAGCTAATATTTTAGAATATGTTTAAGATTATTAAGGCCTCTATTTATTTTTTAGATGATTGTACCCGTCAGAACGGGTTATCAATTTTTAACGCGGTGGCGACCGCTTTTAATACATCCATCAGTACGTCATATGATTAGTGGTCGTTCACGTTCGGAAACACCACAAGCTGTACCTGATGGTTTGTTTAATATAATATATTTTATTTTAAAATTTATTTTATTTGAATATTTAGATTGGGGTACATTAAAACCACTTGATAAAGATCCAGTATCAAAACCTATAAAAACCGATCAAAAACGTGTCGGTGCACCTGATGAAGTTAAAGGAAAAGAAATTGAAATTCTATGGCCAACAGAACGTGAAATACAAGAAGGAGAATTTACAAAACCACAATGGGAAAGAAAACAAGTCAATGTAAGATTTCTTTTTTTTTTTTATTCATTTCATTGAAAATTTTTTCAAGTATAGAGTTTCTTTTCTTTCAGAATTTATTTATTTATTCAAATATTGAGAATTAGAATCTATTGAATTCATAACTTTTGCATCTGTTTTATACGAAAATTTTGAGAGAATATGAATACTAGTTGTTAAACTCTATTAGATAATATATGTATTATTTATAATTTTAGCATATATGGTATGGTTATGATTTTAATGATAAATTTCGAGATGAAGCAAAAATGAAACAACGAATGTTTTCACTTGTTTCTGTTGGAATTTTTCTATTTTGGTTTATGTGGCGATATTTTCCTGATCGATTGTAAGATTTTTTTTTTTTTTTGAATATTAAAAAAACAAAAAATAATTTTTTAATTTAGATTAAATAATTGGTGTCAACGTGAAGCATATCTTCGTTTAGCTGCACGTGAAAGTATTGGTCTTCCGGGTGTTAGTCCTTGGTATATTGATCCAGCTAAAGTAGAACCATATTTACCAAATGATGAAGAACTTGGTGACATGCCTATTGAAGTTTAGAAAAAAGGAATTATATTAGATTATTAGTGACACTCTTACGTTTTTCATTTTTTTTTGTCATCCCTGTTTCGATCTTGCTTACTCTATTTGTGTAAATGAGTCTTGTCTTCTTTCTTTTTTTTTTTTCATATTAAAAAAAACAACAACAAATATAACCAAAGTTATTAGTCGTTTTTAATATATGTTTAACTTATTGGTTTCAATGAATGAGATTTTGAGAAATAGAACTTATTCATAGAATTTCTTTATCTTTATTGATTTTCAGGTCTCGCAGCGTGTCTACTTTGCTGATTTTGTCCTGATTTTTCAAGATTTATCTCTGTAGGATCACATATACGTCATTTTGATGTTTTATTTTGTTATACTCAACGTTTCTTAAAAATTTTATGAAAATATTTGTTGAATATTTTCTATAAAAAGAAAGATGGTACTCAAATTTTTATTCTGTCCATTTTTTTCTTGTATAATCACTTTAAGAATCGATTATTTCGAATTAATTGGTTTTTGAAAGAAGCTATTTTATAATCAGTACTTCGGCTGTATTTATATCATAGAGTTCACGACCGTGGGTAGCTGCATTAAATCTTGTATTCCCTTATTTTAACATTTTAGTCGATTTACTAAAGTTTTCTTGTAAACGCTTTTATTCGTTTATCTATAACATGGTGGTTTTATATGTGCGAAGAGCAGGGATATGAAGAAGAGGAAAAGTAGCAGAGAGGAGAAGGAAGTGTAATGCAGGGAAATGGTTTGAGTGCCGAAAAGATGGTTATAGAACCTTAAACACTGCGAAAATGCGGATTTTTCTTATTTCTTTTTACGGCTATTTTTCTGATAAAAATGCGATTTCTACTAGAAACAAATAAGACTCCAATATTAAAGGATGCCTCCTTCCGTAGGCCACGTATCTGAGAAAAAGAAAACGTATACACAATGCATAATTAGAGATAGCGAACGAAAAGGGAAAAAGCAGAACTCGAAGCACGTATTCGGCGAAATATAATATAGTAATTCCAATGAACTATCATTGATCGACATACTTTTGTGCAGCTTTCATCCTGAACAATAACACTATGATAAGACTTAAAATGTCCTGATTTTCAGACATAGGCCGCTGCGACCCCTGGATTTTAAATATTAAACGCTTTTTTGCTTCAATTGAATTCGATTAAATGTTTCTTTCATATGAATAAAATACAATTCATTTTGTAAAAAAAAAAAAAACAGAAAATTTTTAAATCATCTATTCATAATAAAAATTCAAAATATAAATCTATTATTTGTTAATATCTTACAAATACAATCTAATATTCAAACTTGAAATGGTTTCTATTGATCGTATTTTGAACGAAATAATTAATCTTTTAAGGACAACTTTCTGACAATGTGTACAGTTCACAAACAAATCGTCCGAAAATGTCGTCCATAACTAAATTGTTTCTCTGTTAATAATATTTGTTCGACATTGCCTAAACATTCGGCCGGCAGCTAGAAATTTTGTACAAGTGTTATCAGATCAAACAAGGATATTGCATTGTTATATGATTTCACTATCTCTCTCTCTCTCGCTCTTTCTTTACAGCTGATGTGATACAAAGAATGCAAAGGGAATGCCCTTACAACCCTCATTATTTTCTTTGTCTACTTATGTATATATATATATCTAGTCAGTTAACATATGTTTTATTTTTCTTTTCTTTCAAATATTATTCGAGGAAAATCAAATCGATTCGTTAAGTATTTATCTAAACTTGTTTTTAATTTCCATTGAACACAATCTTTTAAATCAAAAAAAAATCATATTATTTTATTTATTTGAACAACAACAACAACAAAAATGCTTATGAATTCATTTGGTTCTTCTCGAAAACGACCAATTGGTTGTTCAGATAAGGAAAATATATGGTCATCAATGTTAGGAATTGAAATGTAAATTGAATTTTCTTTTTATATTTATTTTCATTTTCTATTTTCTTCTAAAATAGCGATTCTGGTGTTGCAACAAAACAACCACGTCTTGCTCTTGGTTCATCTATGATTGATAATAATATATTTAATTCAAGTAAATATTATAATTATTAAATAATAATTACAAATTTTATTAATTATTCTATATTAATTCTAGTTCCATATTCACCACCAGATAATTTTTTAATCAAATCAATAGATTGTATGTGTATATACAATGTAATTTTAAATATTTTATTGTTTTTTCTAGTATGGTCACCATTGAAATCAGATCCAGTTCAATTAATTTCAGTACCATCTGATCAACGAATACTTAGTAAATAATAAAGATAAAAAAATATTTATTTCTTATTTATTTAATTAAGATCGTACAGAAACTCGTTATAAAAATGGTTCATTTCGTCATGTATTAAAATCTATACGTTCATTAGGTGAATATGGTGATGGTAATAATGCATTTCGTGAACCAAATAGTGTTGCATGGCTTGAATGTGGAAAATTAGCTGTTGTTGATACAAATGCACATTGTATTAAAATATTTAATAATGAATATGGACAATATGAATATTCATTTGGTCGTGGACGAACATTAGGTTGTCAAAATTTACTTTATCCATATCGTATAGCTGTTGTACCTGGTGGTAATGATGAATTAGTTGTTATACAACGTCATCCTCGACCACAAATTCATATATTTACATGTAAAGGTGATTTTATACGTAGATTTGGACAATATTTAGAAAAACCTCGTGCATTAACTGTTGATAAATTACATCGTATTATTGTTATTGAATCTCAAATACAAAAATTACATATATTTTCATTTGATGGAAAAATTCTTAATTTATTTAATTTAAATCAACAATTAAAATTTCCAACATCAATTTGTTCAAATAATAAAGAAATATTTATATCAGATAATCATTTACATTCAATTAAAATATTTTCATATTATGGTGAATATTTACGTGAAATAAAAGATAATAATTATATTTTATTTCCAACAAATATTAAATTAAATATTAAAGGACAATTAATTATTATTGATAATCATCAAGGTTTAAATATAACAATATATGATGAATATGAACAAAAAAAACGTTTAGGTGCATATACAGCACGAATATGTCATTCACAAATACTTGATGTTGCTATTGAAACAAATGATAAAAATATTCTTCATTTAACATCAAAAGATTATCGAGTTTATACATATCAAATTCCATTGTAAATTTACTTTTTTTATAAAAAAAACAAACGAAAATGTTTAATCTACTTTATCGTTCGGTAGTTGTTCATATTTTCTTTTCTTCTTTTTTTTTTGTTTATTATTAGTTAACGTTATGAGTTTTATTTTACAAATATATATATTGTTTTTTAATTAAATACATCATAGCGTCCTCTTTTTATATATGATTTAAAACGAAGATTAGTTTTTTTGATTGGCCAGAGGCTTGGCCGATAATGGTTGGTTAAAAGAAATCTAGTCATCAATGATCCTGTTTTCCTATTGTTTTATTTGCTAAATTGCCAATAGATCATTGACAACTATGAGTTTAGTTTAATAGTCTTATATTAAGATGAAATATAATGATACATAGATAACAAAATTATTAAATGAAATTATAGATTGTATATACTTTCTATTGCCATATCATTTGTTTTTAGATGCATCAATATTATAGTAGTAAATACTTTATAATCACTATTTTCATCGTATGCAATATAATTGGATGTATTACATTAGGTAAAGATATAATTGTTTTCTCTAGAATTGATGAACAGAAATAATCTAATTGTTCGAACTTTAGAATAAAGAGAATTTTCCATTCAATATATTACAAATAATAATATAACACATACATAAAAATCTAAGAATGAACAAGTATATCAAAAATGTAAAAAAAGAATCCATCGAGTTTAGAATTTTTTGAACTTGTTAAGAGAAAATTTTTCAAAACTAAGACTAACTCGATGAGCTTTAATAAATTAGGCATATGTTCAATACAAAAGGAAAAAAAAAAACAAGAATTTTACTTTAATTAGGATAAGATAGTATTACTCGATCTTCTCTTCTGAAACAATATTCATATTTTCTATAACGAAGTGTAGATGAGATAAGCACGAACTGCAAATGAAAATCATTCTGTATGACACGTCCATTAATATAACAAGCATATAATTATAACACTATGTGTACAAAATAAAATATTTTTCAGGATTTTAAATGTTTAATTGTACACATTTTTGTTTTTTTGTTCGTAGTAACTGCAACTGACAAATCAAAACGATCCGATGAAAAAGATACAATAGAACCAATATCTGTAATATAAAGAAAAATATTCTTTTATTGTTATTGACAATTTTTTTTTGGTTTTTGATTTCTAGCCTGAAGCTGTTGCACCTGAAGCACAAATTCATTTACATGTTGATGATACAACTACTTCACATCAACATGATGATAAACAAATAGTAAATGAAAAAATTTCTGAAAAAAAATCTATAAAAGATAATGAAGAAGATATTGATGAATTAAATGAATCATTACAAGATTTAATTATTGAATATCGTATAAAAGAACAAGAAAAAAATTCTAAAATAAATCAAGATAATGAAGAAGAAATTGATGCTGATGCTGATGATGATAATAATGATGATGATGTTAATTTACAACGTATATTAAAACAAATAGGTGTTAGTTTACATAATAAATATCGTCAAAAACATAATTCGGATCAATCACAAACAAAATTATCAAATATGATACAAGATTTATATCAAACATTAAAAAAAACTCAACCACATTTATTTACTAAACCATCTCGAACAGATAGTTTAAACGATAAACAATCATCTATAGATGATAAAAATTTTAATCAAGAATTAAAAGAAGATGATAATAATGATGTAGAAGAAATTATTTCATTAACACCAGAAATGGAACATGCTAATACAATTTATCATCAAGCAATTAAATTAATTAATGTTACAGTTAATCGACAATATGAAGCGTAAGATTTCGTTTTTTTTTTTGTATTTACAAACATGTTTTTTGAATTAAAATATTTTTAGTGCTTATAAATTATTTAAAGAAGCAGCTGATTTAGGTCATATTGGAGCAAAAGAAGAATTAGCTTTTGCTCATATTATTGGTGTACATTTATCAATGGATTTTTCTCAAGCAAAAAAATATTTTGATGAAGGAGCTGAAATTGGTTCAGCAAAATCACATTTTGTATGTTGATATATTTCATCTTGTTTTTGTTCATTATATATATATTCTTTATTTAGGGACTCTATTTTATGAATAGTGTTGGACTTCTTCCAAATGCAAGTATTTCAAAAGTAAGTTTAAAAGAAAACATATGTAGTAGATACTTTTACATGAGTAAAGTTCTATTTAATTCTTCAAGGTAGTTTTCTATTTTGAGCGAGTTTCTTTAAACTTGAATTGAAAATAATACTACGTTAGTTTCCTTTCCACATTGCATTATAGTTATATCATTATTTACTGTAATTATGAATAATAAGTTATCTATAGTAAAGATTTTTTTTTTAAATAGTTTAAATCCGAGATCAAAATCGATTATTGAATTTGTTTATCAATTATATTTTGTAAAATTTTCAATAAAAATTTTTCTTTTTGTTTTTTTGTATAGAAAATGTAGATATCAAAATATACAGTAAGATATTTTTAGTCAATAGAAGATGAGATATAATTCTTTCTTATTACTTTAGTTGCACATAATCACAACTAATACTACTATATTAGTTAATGTTCGCACTTAATAATCGGCTATTATTATTATTATTGTAAATGAATCTGTAATAGAAAAAATATTCATTCAAAACATTCTTACTTAAAACGAGATTTCCTTGTCTAAATGTTTCTTATAGATATCTTGTTTCCATAAACGTGACTATCTGACTTTCTAATTAAATGAATCTTAAACTTAGATTTCATGTTCATCATAATATGAATATGTAAAACAAAAAAAAGATAGATAACCCATAACAATTAAGCGTGCATGTTCATATATCTGACGTCAATTATTAATTATAATTATTTTATTTATTTAGGCTCTTGTTCATTTAACATTCGCTGCTATTGATGGTTATAGTCCAGCTCAAATGGCTCTTGTAAGTAAAACATTCTAAAAAATCTAATCAAGATTTAATCAATAAAAAATAAAGTATCAAAATCTATATCTTAGAAAGAAACATTCTTAATTATTCTATGAGCATAGAATTACTAAGAGTCAGTTTTAAATTCTTCTTATTCAAATAACGTTTCATTGTATAGTTTCTAATATTAATTAAGTAATGAACACACAAAGAAATAATATTTTGTTTTTAATTATCTAGGGTTATCGATATTGGCGTACAGTTTCTCTTCCTCATAGTTGTGAATCAGCTTTAATGTTTTATAAACAAGTAGCAACATATGGTAACAAAAATTTTCTAATTCTTAATTGAAAAATTTTTATCAATAAATTTATTTAGTCTCATCAAAAATGACATCAGCAACAGGACAATTAATTCAACGTATTCGTTTATATGATGAAGAAGAACATCCAACACAAAATAATATTATGGTTGATGAAGATCTTGTACAATATTATCAATTATTAGCCGATCGAGGCGATGCACAAGCTCAAGTAAAAACAAAAAAAATAAAAATTCTTAATTTTGTATTTTTTTTTAAATATTAGTATGGTCTTGGTCAATTATATTATTTACGTGATACAGCATTTGATAAAGCACTTTATTATTTTCGTTTAGCTGCTGAAAGTGGAAATTCTAATGCTATGGCATATTTAGGAAAATTATATTCAGAAAAAAATGATTATATTAAACAAAATAATATAACTGCTTTACAATTTTTTCAACGTTCAGCTGAAAAAGGTAATCCAATAGGACAAGCTGGTGTTGGTATGGCATTTTATCATGGTGCTGGTATTGAACAAAATTATGAAAAAGCATTTAAATATTTTCAATTATCAGCTGATCAAGGTTATGTTGAAGGACAACTTATGCTTGGTATAATGTATTATAAAGGTGAAGGTGTTAAACGTGATTATAAAATGGCTATTAAATGGTTTCAAGCTGCATCACAATCAGGTCATGCACTTGGTTATTATAATCTTGGACAAATGCATGCTACTGGTACAGGTGTATTACGTTCATGTACAACAGCAACAGAACTTTTTAAAAATGTTGCTGAACGTGGTAAATGGTCAAACATGTTTATTGAAGCATATAATCTTTATAGACAAGGTCATATTGAACAAGCATTTATGAAATATTTATATTTATCTGAACTTGGATATGAAGTTGCACAATCTAATGTTGCATATTTACTTGATCAAATGCCAAATCAATTAATTAATATTTATCATAATAAAGATGAACAATATAGACGAGCATTAATTTATTGGAATCGTGCAGCAACTCAAGGTTTTCATACAGCACGAGTTAAATTAGGAGATTATTTTTATTAGTAAGATTTAAAAAAGAAAAAAAAAAATTAATCTTTTCTATTTTGTTTGTACAGTGGTTATGGTACTGAACAGAATTATGAAACAGCAGCAACACATTATAAATATGCAAGTGATCAAAGTCAAAATCCACAAGCAATGTTTAATTTAGCTTATATGCATGAAAAAGGCTTAGGATTAAAAAGAGTATGTTGATTTTAAAGAGTTTAATAGAAAAATAACCATCATTAGAAATTTAAGCAATTGAAGAAGAAAACTAAAATGGAGGAAGGGATATCAAAAAGTATCCGGACTAATTTTATTTAATAACAATAGAAAGCGCTGCTGTCTTTGTTTTATTGTTTGTGTGTAGTTCATGGACTTCTCTATCTATGAACATGATAAACTCTGTTGAACTACACATATATATATGAAAGTATAGAAACACATTTGAGACCACTGTATATACACAATGACAAAAATTAAAAATCTAAGCAAAGTTTGAGGTTTTTTAAGGCGAGTTTCCATTCAACATTTATAAATGTATGGTGACAGTTTACAGTGGTAATGCTCTATCACATACTACGATATTTGAATGGGCTCGTTGTTTCAAAGGTGAATAAATAACTATCAATAGTAGTGTTAGATGTAGTCGATACATCACATTAACATTATGTAAGAGTATGTGCTTTTTTTTTCTTGAACTGACTTGGGTCATATATAATTGATCAAATAAAATGTTGTATACTGTAGATTTGAAATGTAAATGATATCCACTATTTACTCATGAGCGCTTTGACTATCTTCGATCACTAGGGTACTACAAATTTTAATGGTTATGCTATTTACATTTAGATTATTATCCATCTTTAAAACAACGATCCTATTCAGAAGGTGTAATAAGCAATAGCGAGTCGATTGTTATAAACTGCCACTATACTTTCATAAATATTAAATGAGCAAAAGTCTTATAAAACAAGAAATCTATCACTGAGTGATACATAGTGGTCTCAAATGTATTTCCATATTCTTATATCTACGTTTCATTCAGCAGAGCTTATCATGTCTATGGATAGAGGACTCTATGAACTACATACAGACAATAAAATAAAGACACCAACGCTTCTTATCATTTTTAAATAAAACTAGTCCGGATACTTTTTTGAACGCCCTACGTATTCAAAGGAAAACATTTTTTGATGGGATAATATATTTTTTGAAATTTTTATTTCTTTGTTTCTTTTTTTTTTGTAAGGATATACATTTAGCAAAACGTTTTTATGATATGGCAGCAGAAACAAGTGCTGATGCTTATTTACCTGTTAGTATTGTTCTATTTAAACTTAATTTACAATTATTTTGGGAAAAATTAACTTCAATATTTTTTTCATCATCATCAACTGAATCAATGACAACATCAAGTACAACATCAACATCAACAATATCAACAACAACAACATCAACAACATCAAATGTTAATGAAAATCATTCAACAATAATTGATTTTGATTCATCATGGGATTTATATTTAATGGCAGCATTACTTGGTCTTATCGGTGCTTTATATACAATTCGTCGTCAGCGAGCTGCTTTACAACAGCAACAACAACAGCAGCAACCAGTTCAAGCTCCGGTGCAGTGATAATTACTCATTTTTTTTCTTTGCTCTCGTTCATTTTCTTCTTTCTCTTTTTTTTTTTTTTAATTCATTTTGTTATTTATCTTTTGTCGTCTTTTGGAATGTGTATCTGTACAAAGAAAGAGAAAGATTTTGCTAATATTAGACATTCATTTGTCTGATTTCTATTTTGTTGGTTTGTATACACGGCAAAGCTAAAACAAAAAAAAAAAGAAAAACCAAAAGGAATGAATTTTTTCTTTGTTGCCATTTTAGATTAAAAAAAAAAAAAAGAAAGAAAAAGAAAAGAATTTAGTATAATGTTAATTCATTTAAAAAATGATATTTATACTTCAGATATTGTATATATATATATTTAATATTGGCTTTGTCTGATGTCATATTATTTTTATTTTTCATTTCATAGAACTTATTTATTTCTTTTTCTATTATCATCTGTTTTAACTTTAAATAATTCTTTTTCTATAATATCATCTAAAATTACACCTTATTGTTCATTTTTTTCTAATCGAGCACCAAGTCCACAACCAGCATTAACAAATTGTACATGGTTTAAAGAATATAGTTGTTGTCATGATAATGAAGTACGACTTATTTTTTCTCAAGTACGTCCATTAATTGGTTCATCATCTGAATGTACACGTTTTATTAATGTATTAATGTGTTATGTATGTTCACCATTACAATATATTTTTTATCGTAGTGAACGTTTACATGTATGTTTATCTTATTGTAATCGAATGTATAAAGCATGTGCAACAGCATTAATGAAAGGTATACCTGTTGGTAAAATATATGCTAATGGACATGAATTTTGTCTTTCACGACGTTTTGAAATCAATGATATTTATAATTCATCATTATGTTTTTCTGATGATGATTTAAGTATTCAAGTCAATAAACAAAATAAAATTGGTGATGTTAATATTGGTTCAACAAATATTGAACGACCAAGTTTATTTAAATTATTTATTATCATATGTCTAGCAGCAATGCTTAGTTTTATTTTATGTTAATAGAATTTATAAGTCTTCCCTTTTATTATGCCTTCTTTTTCTTTTTTGTAATTGTCAAATATATATATAAATATATTTATGATTGTTTAAAAAGAGTGTCTAATACTGTAGTACAATCAATTGATGTACAATGAAAAATTTTACAACGATTATTAGCACATTGTGCATCTCGTGTACATATACCACAGTATTTAGTATTACAATACTTAGATATAGTACAATATTCTTTTGTTAATGAACAGTCATCATCAGAATTACATGATTGTCGACATATATTATCATAACATTTACCATCATAACATTCGAGATCACGTTCACATGTACTGTTTACAGAATATTTGAGCATACAAATACGTCGTCTAATATTACAAAAGTGTGTAATTGTTGGACAATGCGCTTGTTTAATACAAGTAATGATAGGTGTATCGATTGTTGGTATTATATCAGGAGTGGATAGTGTTGTAATGAATATTAATAGCAAACCTGTAAAAAGAGGCAATGATAAATACATGATTGAAAAATTTTGTTTTCAGACGTACGTATAGATATTTATATATGATAAATAATAGAGTCACATATTTTACTAATGGTACTTGATGAAACAGATGTCTTTTGTAGAATAGTTTAAAAAAATGATTCAGAAAAGTTGTTTCTATAGTAATTTTTTTGTGTCTATTATTTGAAGAAATGAATGAATATCATTCTATTCATAAAATTTTTCTTGATATTTATGAATTTATAGTTGATTATACTAAATTAATCACAATAATCGATGAAAATTCCAATGGATCAAATACAAATATATTAACTATTAAGTTAAATAAACAAGATTTTCTTTTACCAGCAAGTTTAAATGAATTTTCACAAACAGCACATGAATTACAATATTGTTTAAAAATTCATATAAGAAGTATTGCACAACAACGACGAAATAATATTTCAAGAGGAATTGATAAGGACGATGAAAATGTATTAATTAATTATGAAAAAGAATCATATCGATTTAATAATGATGTTAAAAGTCATTTAGAACAATTACAAATGAATATTTTAGATAAAAATATCAATAAAATGATTCAATATATACGAACAATTATTGATGATTTTGAATTATATAATGATATTCAATTAAATCAACATTCTCTTAATATTACATTTCGTTTATTACCTATTTTAAAACATATTCAAAAGCAGGTAGAAAAAACAAAATCATAAATCGAATTTTCTTCTCATATTCATCAGTTTACTTTCTTAGTTATGTTGTATGTCGACAAATATTCAAAAAATACTCGATGATAATACACATATTATCGAAAAACATTTAAGAAAATTACAACAAAAAATTAATTCTTATGATATAAATATGAAAAATAAATTAGCAAAATATATTTCACGTGATATTCGACCACCGGTACTTGTTATACCTTGTCCAACAAACACATATTCGCCTGGAAGATTTAATACAATGAAATCATCTAATATTATTGTTAATAATAAGGATTCTGATCAGACTCTAATCCAAACAACAACAACAAGTACTGATAGTGAAGATTCATTATCCACCACAGAAAATGATTAAGTAATTGTCAGAAGATGAAAAACTTATTTTAATATTTAATAGTACACTCTAATTGAAAAAAAAAATATAAGTTCAATGAGATTCAAACAAGAACATATAAATGAAGTCTTCAACTCATCAGGGAACATCTCTAGATGCATCTTTCCAATTTCTATATTTGATTTGTCTATATGACTATAGCATAGTATTCTAGTGGAAATTCTAAAGATACTTTGGTTCCTATATGTATATATTTCTGAGCTATGAAATATTCAAAATATTCTTGTATTGTTCATTATGTATTGAAAATCATCTAGTTTTATTAAGTTCATAGCTCGGAGATATCGCAATCATTGGATTCTAAAACTCTCCATACAAGCTTAAATAGAGTTAATTTCAAGATAGGTTTCAAAGACAATTTTTTTCCAAAACTTGGATTCCACAGAAGTGTCGATAAATAGATATCTCAAAAATTCATTGCTACACTAGGTTTCAGTAAAAACGCATATGCTTTTAGTATTTTTACTAGAATACTGCACAATAATATCTAGAGGCAGCAAATTATTGAAATCGAAAATGGCTATTTAGGAAGGTTTCGTCGTTCGAGAAGTACATTGAAGTGCTTGAAAAAAATGAGCACACGACATAGGAACAAAATCTAAAATTTTAATGAGTAAGACACTGTTAGTAATCTGTAAATCAATACAAAGGAGTAGAGCTTCGTTTTAAAAGTAAAATGATTTGATCCACGGATTTTTATGAAGTTATATTCAAATTGATTCTGATGAAAAAGTTAAAACAAGAAGAAAAGGGTGTGCGTGTGGATGTGAGTTTTGGTGTGTTTCTTTCTTCACAGATCCACATTCTAAGATGATACGAACAATATGGGTAGGAATATCGTTAGCAGACTGAAACAGATCCATCGGTTTTTACATTTTAATCCTTCAGAGACTACTTTGAAAGTTTTTTTACTATGATTTTCAGGCAAGCTGTAAGTTTTCGATTATAAGAAGCGTTACATCGCCTACAACAAGTAAAATACAATTGTCCAAAGTATGTGGCGACGGTGCTTCAGTAAATGTCATCAATGGTGGTAAGATAATAATAGCTGTCCAAAATTGAGTTTGATCTTGAAACAAATAGAAAAATACCGAGATAATAACAATCGATGTAATCCAAACACAAGATCTTCCTTCCAGTGAGCGTTGATATCAACGATTTCCCACGGTGCACCATGCTTTGACTCAGTAAATGTGCTTGCCTAGGTAAATTCCGATTGGTTCTGCTAAACCATCTCCAAAACCAAGAATCAAAAGAGTCATAATAGTCATATCAGCTTGTTTTGTAGCTGCAAATATTCACTGAAAAGTTGTGTTTGCTATTGCAGCAGAGAGAGTATTTCCTAAACAACACTATAAGAGTGTATGAGGGTCGATCTTCTGGTCGATCAATTGTATTGAAAAGGATCATAAAAAATCGAAAGCGTTTTCTCAATGTGTTTATAAGAATCATCGTGGATAAGAAAAACATCTCGAAGTTCCAAATGGTATAGATCACTTCTGGAACATCAGTGCTTCCTAGCTGGATATACGATACTGCACAAACAACAGTGACGTAAGAAATCTTGCGCGTATAATTCACTTTAAAAGGAGACGAGCTATTAGTAATTATGTAACCTTGTTCATCACAATTGCAAAAGTAGTGAGCTATTAATTCACAAATGAACATAACTGATAAAACTATCAATGCTATTGTTAATTGAGTAATCAAGAACAATAGAGTAATAAAGGCCTTTCTATGAATAACTATGATCGAGATCACTGCAGCAATACTATACAATATAGTGATCACAAGAATGAACAAATCTACAGTTTGTCTCCACAGTTTCGAATAATCACCAACCACATCATCTGGCAAATATTCAATAGTGGATGACTTTTGACCTATCAACGGTGTCCGATTATTGTACTTATCTTTTAATGCCGATATTTTCTTTCTGAGTTCTTTTTTTCGTTCAATTTCTTCAGATGTTGATGGACGAAAAGCAATTCATAGTACAAGCCAACTGACAAATACTGAACTCCGATTTACTACTACAATGATAATTATTTGAGATAAAGATAGATTTAGCCACATATTTTCATTGACACTCAGTAGTACTCTTGTTTGTCCCCTTATTGTCATAATTTGATTCAAGTTTTGTATGAGTATTGGATAGGATCGACTTACCTATTGAAAAAGATAAATAGTTTAGTATTTCGAACATTCGACGTCTACAAGTGTGTATAGAAATGCTTTCATCAAAATCTCTACAGAATTCAAATGTGAAACACAATGAGTTTGTTCAAATTGTAAACGAAAGTTCTGCTCACATCGATCATATTATTCTCGACCCTGAGGTCAACTGATGGATCTAAATGTCTTTTTAGTGTGCGGAGCAGATCAGAAGAGTGCCTCACTTTTCTCATCATATGATTCAACATTTATTTCCAATCACATTTCACAAAATGATCTGTGCTAAATTATTTGATAGAAATAGAAGTGAAGAGAACAGCAAAACTATAGGATACATTTGCATAAGGTACCAATAGAGTAAACATAGAAGATTATAGAACATTTTCGGTAAAAGATCTAAAATCTGGCCATTGTGAAGAACAACTATCGAATGCTTCTTGTTTTATTTTGAAATGGATAATAGTTTCGCTTGGAACTCCATGGAACCAGATTGAAATTGTAAAAGATTTATGAACTGAGAATTCATTGCCACAAAACAGCGGAATCTGAACTAGCATCGGAGCCGCAAATAGCGGGTGTATGGATACCCAATTACAACAAAACAAGGAAGTGCAGATTTCAATTGATATCTATCTATAGATCTCATCGATAAATCGTAGATTTGTTTTTTCCACTAAAGAAACGGCTTTTTTGGGAAAGTAACCAATTTTATTAAAGCTTGATCGAAAATCTTTTACATCAAGAAATCTGAATCTCTGATCAGTTTCTCAGAATTGCGTAATTGATTTCTCGTTTAAATTACCTCTATTCCGGAGATCTGTCATCAAACTTTAGAAAAAATCGCTAATTTGACAAATAAGTTTCTGTTCAGTGGAAAAATAAAGTACATATTTTCGTTAAAATGATCACAGATACGAATTCCTCGATGTCGAAACTTTTTGATCAAACTGTATCCAATTCGTTACCTTCACAAAAAAGCCTTTCTTCAGTGAAAAAGTCATATCTACGATGCCATTGTTACTTTATTAGTAAATAATTGTCTCGTGACAGAAATTTCTCATCCCTATACGTGGTTAGACAGTGTAATTGATGAATAACTCATAGAAAATCTAATCATTTGCAATCGTAGTACACTACCTTATGATAAGAGATTCTGAAATAAGTAGCAACAGCACAAGTTAACTTGATTATTTGTATTTTACAAACG